GAGACGCAAGTCCACTGTGTGACACCTGCTGAATATTTTCCATTCCAAATGAAACACAAGAGTATAAGCAAAACATGTAGCAATAAATAAATGCAGGAAACTCCATTATGAAATTCTAAGCAGGTGGTTATGGAAGTTGTGTAGAAAGATACAGCACTGACAACCACAATGAAGGGGCATTTGCCTGCTCAGTATCATGCATTAATAGAGAAAAATTATGAGCTGTCAAAAATGTAGTGTTCAAAAGCTTTTTGCATGTCAATTTTAGTGGGAAGTCTTTTGTGCACACACACACATAGACACACTCACAAAAAAGTTCTGTGCCTGATACAAAGGCATCCCCAGTCCCTAGCTGAAAGAGCAACTGAGACTAAAGCAGAACAGCAGCTTCAGGAAAGTGTCTTTTATGTTTTACCCCAGTTATCACACTCCTGGAATTGTCATATATCATTAACAGAAACATCTCCTGTTTTTTTCCTGTGTTTGTTTTTCTTGCTTCCTGCCCCTCTCAGGTAAAGTACCGTCAGAAGCCAGAAAGTCTGAAGTTCACTGCTGTGGCTGACTCTCCAAGTTTGATTCATGCCAAAAACAGCTACCTCCAGTGCAATGATGTAGGTTTCATTCTAATGTATAAGTGACCTTAACTTAACTTACAAGTGACCTTGTACCATAATGCATAAAGGAATTGATCTTGACATTGCTTCCAGTATCACCTGCATTCAATGACTTTTGGCCCCACAGAGGCTGTACAAGGCTGGAGGTTCCGAAGACAGGCACAGGTACACCCTGCCCCCTGATCATCCGGATTTCATCCGAGCCCGCCAGAATGCACTCTACATCAGTGATGTAAGTGAACCTTCTCTTTGGGGAGCTGGCTTGGTAAACTTGTTTGGGAATAAAAACTGTCCTGTATGTAGAAGCCAAGTTCTCTGAGCCTGACCAGAGCTAAAAGAAGCCAGAGGCAGTGAAAAGCCCATTTTCCTTTTCAGCATTCATTTCGTTTTTGAGGGCAGTAAGTTATTATTAAGGATTTCAAACCTTCATTATAGATATGATTAGTTACAAATTAAAATCTTTTTGGTTTTGTTTGGGCGAGGGAGGAGGGAGAATCCTCTTTCCTAAACTATATATTCTACCTTTCTGAAGCTGAAACACTGTGGTGAAATGATCCCTTAGGCATAGCTGTCATCGATATGGATGTAACTGAATCAGTGAGTGGAATTAGTTTAAAGAGAATTTATTTCCACATTATCTCATACAGAGGAACTCAGTCTATTCCTAATGTCCTGTTCCCTGACTAAATAGCTGTTGTCTTTACCTGTAGGGTTGGAATGACCTTAGTTTGATAGGAGCTTTGAGATAGGTGAAAGAAACAAGTAGAAATTACATTTTTGAAACAATAGAGGAAAATGTAAAAAGACAAATATTATGTGCAAGGATTGCACACAAATGAAAGGTCATCATTGTTAGTAGGGTGCACAGTGATATTGCTTCTGCCCTGGCTGTCTTGCAGGATTTCTGGCATCTAAATTTACTTTCAAATTTATTACCACCTAGCACTACAGTCACCAGTGAAACAGAAGATTGTCTTAAAATGTGGAGTGGATTTTGTGCTCCTTTTCGTACAGTCACAAACTCCGGGGGGGTGAATCAAGCACTTACAGAAAGCAAATGAATAAAATCAGAAGGGGACAGCTGACAGTGTCGGCATAGATACCATGGCTATGTAGTAGGACCTGCAGACTGGAAGCTATTTTAAGAAAGCTACTAATGGAAGAAGAACCAAATCTAGAGCAACTTCTCTTCAGGATGTAAATGTGATTCACATCCTCAAAGTCACATTAGAACCGGCTGTTATTCCACATGAGTTAATGAAGCCACATGTGGCTGGGGATAGAGATGAGGATCATTTGAAAAGCTTGAAATAACTGGTATTGAAATTAGGATGCCAGGAAACCCAAGACACTGTGAGTGGATGCATCAAAAGAGAGAATAAGGGCAATATCAATGCAATATTGATGTGACTGATGCATCACAGTTTCTAATAGAAATTAAATCACATCAAAAACAACCACATTCAAGTACAAAAGGAAACCCTGGTGGCACTTTTCAGATGAGGCATTTTATCATTATAGTGAATAGAAAAGAAGTTGAAGTGCTATAGAACTGGATCAAAACCTTGGAGATAGTACTGATGACTCTTGATACAAATAAGCCCAGTAGGATAAAACATTTATTATTGCAGTTATGGGACTGCATTTAAGAAACTGCAGGGGGAAATGACTTTTTTGTTCTTTTCTTTTCAACACAGAAATTGTATAAAACATCTTGGGAACAGACAAGGGCATCTGGCTATGATTTTAGGATTGATGCCATCCCGTTCCAGACAGCAAAGGCTTCAAGAGAGATTGCTAGTGATGTAAGAATTGTTCTGTTTCAAACACTTCCCAGCCCTCTTCCCAAGCTACCCCATCCTGTAAAAATGGATGAAGTCTGACATGAGTGAACATTGTTCTGGTATGGAAAATTGGTGATCCAATGAAACAAAGTGCTGGTTAAGTGCAAAAATTACCAACTAAACTCTACCATTAATAATGTCCAATACCAAGCTGTTCTTATGTGCCAAGAGTTTTTCTTGGGAAGAAGACATATATGATTTAATGAAATAATATAGATCCTAGGCTATGAATAGTTAAAACATAGTCTAGAATAAAGTGGGTTGTCTTTGAACACAGAAGACCACAGCTGGCAAGAAAGCTAAAGATGGAGGAGCTTCATTGGTTGAGCTCTGTATTGTGTGTACCCAAGAGTGCAACAGTAGGAGGATCTCTGATTACTTTTGAGAGATGAGCATTTTGGGCCCCCTAAGTCTTTCCACTTCTTTAAAAATGAGCACAAAAGTAATTCTTCTAAAGTGTCTTGTTAGATTAGGAGATGTGGTTTGATATCAAACAAACCCTTGGTCTTTGTGCACTACAGGAAACATGATTGATAGCCAGGGGAGGATAAGTTATTTCATAACAGAATTTGAAGGTAATTTGAATGTGAAAATGAGATTTTTTCTCTGTACTTCCTGCAGTACAAATACAGAGAAGCCTTCCTGAGAGACAGAGGCCAGCAGATTGGATTCCTCAGTGCAAATGATGATCCCAAAATCAGACATGTCCTCAGAGTGGGGAAACTCCAGAGCGACCTCCAGTACAGGAGTGATTATGCTCTCAACATGGCACAGTTCCAGAGTCAGCTCAACCAGCCAGGATTCCTCCATGCCAAGAGAAGCCAGCAGCTTGCAAGCAATCTTAACTACAGGCAGCCCTTGCACCAATACACTTGTGACCCTGAGCAGCTAAATGTGAAACATGCAAAGCAGGCCTACAAGCTGCAGAGTGATGTAAGTGTGGCTGAGTGACATGGTCCTTCCCTGGGCTGGGGGCTGTCTGTGCAATGTCCTTTGCAAACCTTACCTGCCAACAAAATCACCTTAAAAGAACCACAGTCTGCTTGTTAAAAATGAATAATTTGTTTATTGTTGACTCTGCTGCTCCTTTATATGCTCTCTGTTGAATACCCAGGGCATGTGATTTGGTTAGAGCTCAGCAAAATAATACATCCTTGTGCATGTTTCATTCTCTCAGATAAAATACAAGTCTGACTTGAACTGGCTCAGAGGCATTGGCTGGACTCCCCCAGGCTCTCACAAAGTTGAAATGGCAAGAAGAGCTGCTGAGCTGGCATACCTTCGGGAAATGGGATTGCTGCAGTCTTCTACTCAGTACAGACCTGGAGCTGTAAGTAAAGCAAACCATCCTTCTCACAAATCCCAGCAGTTCTGCTCCTTACCTGCACACATCCTGTCTAACAGTTCTGAATGCTCCCTGGAGTCTACAGTTCTCCCTATTGTCTGAACAGGATATGTGAAGAAGCTTTGTGCCTTAGTGTACATCTTAATTTGAAGGAACCATTGAAGGGAATTCAGCAGTGTCATGTCAGGAATGTGTTTTCCCCAACATGTGGATTATGTCAGATCTCCAAGTGTCCTAGTACCTCTGAGGAAAGCAGAAGAAGAGGTAGAAGGGACTCCCCATGCAACTCCCATTCTCTTTTCCTAATTTCATCAGGAACCATGAGCTGCCATGTAATTCCATGTTGCCATGTAATCTCCCCATGTAGCCGTATTGGCAGGCTGAGCGTAGGCTCCTGACAGATAATATGTGCTGTGGGAGGCTTTGTGCAGAGGGGCCATGCTCCAGCCTCCTCTGCCTCTGTCCAGCTCAAGGTTAAAGATATCACAAGCAGGGATCTTCCAGGCTTTCCTTCTGTCATAGGGATGACTCCCAGCCTGCAGTGTCCCAGCACAAGAGAGCAGAAAATAATAGTTAAAACCCTCCCCTATCCACTGGCTGGTTTCATATTTTTTTGTTGTGTGATTTTACAGGACCAGTTGGAGACAGAAGGATCTCAGCAAGTCGGAGTCAATCCTGATGCTTCAGAAATTCTGCAAGTCAAAAGAAGGCATATGCAGCTTTATCAGAAGTAAACAGAAACATGACATAACATTAATAGATTTTCATCTTGTGCTGCAAATCCTGTAGCTTTTCCAGTTTTTTGGGAAACACAGTAGATGGCTTTTAAGAATTTTTGTTTTAAAAGGCAATCAAAACATTGCAATTTATAACTGATCATTTTATTTTTGTGTGGATACCTTGTGATTTATCACTGAATGTATTACAGATTCTGCTATTTATTTAAAGCTGTAAATGAAATTAGTACTAGATGACTGGCAGGCTCAGCTTTGTACCATGGATGGTAGAATATGAAATAATTTATAATTAATAAATCAGGTGACTCTTATTCCATGTTTGTAATTTTTGGAGGTTTTTATGTCCCTGAAATATTGGCACCATTGACCTAAGAGAGTACAAAAGCACAATTCAGGTGGTTTAAGAGATGAACGAGTCAAAGGCCCGTGGGAGAAAAGTTATCACTGACTTGCCAAAGGCAGGTCTTCTAGCAGACATCAGGGAATCTGTTCTAGACTATCAGGATGTATTCAGGTCTCAATCAGTTCTTCAGTTTTTTTCAAACCTTCCAAAGTAAAAAATCAGAATTACTCTTTGCAGTAGGGGTAGCTATTGACAGATTAGGTAGCTGCTTAGAGAAGGTTGTAAACCCTGGAATTAAAGTGAGAGTGACATTACTATTTTAAGAAATTGACTCTTCACAAACAAATCTATTCTTTATATCCTGATTTAATACCAATCCCTTGTTTTTCAAATTTCTGTGCAGAATCATTGGGCAAAAGTTATACAATTTGACCGGTACATCTTATGAGAACTCTCAAATTATCCAATGGCTTTAGACAGATTTTTTTAATAGCATTTAGTACTACTAGCTCTCACTGGTTAAGTACATATAAACCATTGTAGATCTGGAGCATGACATGTAATTATTCTCTCGCCAGGAATAAAGTGGATAATTCTAGTACTGAAAGTTTGTTTGGTTTTTCAATCTGAAATGCATCACTAATGAAATTTGTAGTTATTTACCTACAAAAGTGCTTTTAAAAATATTTGTCCTGTCTGATCCTCTCTCCTCAGGAAGTTCTAATGGCTGCAATCTGGCAAACTCTGCTACATGGTGATTCTTATGTGTGTGAAAAATGGTAATGGAGCACACACCAATAGCTTTGAGGTGTCAGGGTCCAATGAGTGCAGAAAAAACACACCTTAGACAGGAGCATGAGGGGAAGAGCAAATGTCTGGCAGCAGCTGAGATGGGAGAAATTTCATGGCTTGAAAAGCAGATCTAGAAACATGATATCAGGGCCTTTGATTTGTTTGGGGAAAAAATAGAGTAGCTTTACTTTCTGATCTGTTTAGCTAAAAAATGTGGGCTTATTTCAAAGCCCACAACAGAAAAACTGTTACTGACATTCTAGCTAACACTCTTAAGGTTATTTTCAAGATGGTGATGAAGGATGTCCCATGTAGGCCATGAGAAAATATCAGCAATATTTTTCATCAAAGATGAGGCATTTAGGGAAAGAATAAAACCAGTAAAACTCTCAATCTTACCTTTTGTCATTCCAAAGCTCTCCCCTACTGATGCGACCTTGATGAAGACTGAATTACATCATTAATCCAACTGGCGAATTTTGTCACCTGGGTATAAACTCCTGGCTTGTTTTTCAACCCACATCCCTCACCCCAGCTCACAAGGCCGTATACGTAGTAGGAGCCATTTTCTACACAAGTCAGTGGGCCTCCAGAGTCTCCCTGAGGAAGGAAAACACACATGTTCAAAGCATGAAGTAAAATAGTAACCAGAATCAGAATGCTTCTTTCTCATCACAAGACTTTGAAGCTGTAATTATGTTTTTTTCCTAACAGATGTACCATCAGATGCTGCTTAGCCCCTAAGTGGACTTGCAGTTCTGTGGCCAGGTCAAGTGATACCAGACTTTTTGGATGCATGTTTTCATTTTTTTCCAGTCTGTGACATAAATCTGACAAGGTCACATGAAATTTCCCAGGCGTGAAAGTACCAGGAATTCAGAGCCTGAACTCAGAAAGATAAAGATGTGATCCCTGGCATTAATGAAAACTTAAGCTGTCTCACACTCCTCAAAACAGCCTTATTCTGAGTTGCTTACTTGCATTTTTTTGTTTTATTTCTGATTTCTATTGCAAAATATGATTTACAGTGGTAATTTGCACCTTAGGAAGTGTTGTACAAACTGTTTCCTACCTTTCAATGGTATAAGTATGAGCTTGTTTCATGTTTGTGTTAGCTGTAATGAAAAGAAACATCAATACTGACTCCTTGCAAGTCATAGCTCTGATAGTGAAAATCAGATTAGAATTGGCAGTCAAGGTAGAGGCCATAACAAAACTGAGGGGAAAAAAAGAGCAGGTTTTCAGGTTATTATGGCAAACTGCCTCAGAAGTCTCTTGATTCCAAGATCTGCCTGTAGGTGACAGTGGCAATATAAGCTCTAAAGATGTACAGCTCAAAGTGTACTGTTGAAATACACTGATGTGACAACAGGTACATATGCAGCACATTGCCAAAGTTCTGCACAGCCTGACTCTTTACACAAAAAATTAGTGTTCAAATACAGAAAAAACAACAGACCTGACAAGAATCGATTCCAGGTTTCCGAAGATTTCCTGCACAAAACATGCTATCATCCAGTTTGTCATTATGTATTTTGGGTTCATTGCATTTCCTCTGTGAAATCAGCTTGACATTGGCATCTAACAGCTGATGGGATGTGTCACCTATGGGATGTGCACCAAAAAAACGGAATCACTTTCTTCCCATTCCTGTCATAATTTGTCTTCTATTCAAAATACAAGCTTGCTTGGCAAACAAATGGGATGGGGGAAGAGAAGGGGGGATGATGCATGTGCTAGCCTGGGAAGGAAAGAACTATCTGGATGAAATGATAAGTTTCCAGTGAGCTGGAGCCTGAAGTTTCACTCAGGACAGAGTTGTTGTCTAAACAAAAGTTAAGTCAGGTATTCAGAATTTGGGTCTAATCAGCTCTCTCTGTGTAATCCTGCTTTTCCAAGGTGCTGGTTTTCTGCAGCTCCCAGAGGTCCCCATGGGACTTTGAGCTGCTCAGCACTTCTCAGACTGGTACTATTAGATGCTTTAACATGCAAGCTAATGAAACAGATGAAAACTGAAAAATCATACAATATTTAAGGGCAATGATTAATTACAGTGAATCTAAAGACATAACTTGACATCTAAAGGCAATAGCCTTAGTTTCAAAGTACTACATCTGTAGATAATTAAAGGTGGTTTATAAGTTTGGTTCTGCTTGAGTTTCAGGAAATATTCAATTTCTGCAGTGATTTCCTGAAATGCTAATAATAGCTCTGCTCAAAGAAGGAGCCATTATTTTGAACACGTACAGGGTACTTGATATTCTTTGTTGGGGGGAAAAAACCCATAAAATCCCCCTTACCCTTTTAAAGAGAGACTTTATTTGGAACTTTAAAAAAAATGTCCATTAAATTCTGTTGGTGCATTCTGATCAAACGAACACACTTGTCTCTTGTGGGACTTCAGTGGGAGTTATATGAAGGGAGAATTCAGTCCCATGGATTGTATCTGGCTGTATCAGTCACTAAGCACTAGGACCACCTACTGCAGCCTCAGCGACAGGTTTTCCTTCTGCTGCTTCACAGCACCACATCAATCAGAACATGAGAAAATGCATTTTTCAGAAAATTGCCATTATCTTTTTTTAAGCATAATAATTTCTCCCCTTAGGATTTACCATGGGCAAGAAAGGTTTTTGGATAGAGCTGGCTGAACTTGAAAAGCTTGGGATTTTTTTTTATTTTTCAGTACATCTGAAGGTCCAGATGCTGCTTCCAAAAAGCTTTATCTGACCCAATGGGCTGGAAAACCATGTGAAAATTTCTGTCTTTCTTGGTGCTGTTTTGAAACACATAAGCTATACCACAGCCTCTTGATACTTCCTTGCTTCTGCAGCTGGCTTCAGATGAAACCATGACATGGAGAGTCGGATGGCAGGTTAATAAATGCATCAGGCATCTTATCAGAACTCTGACAGGTTTGGTTGATTTAGCAGCTAGAATTTTCTGCTAATGAGTAATTTGCATGGCATGGTTTAGCTAACTTTATTTTTGAATTCCATGTCTTGGTTTCACCAGTGTCTAGGTCCTTATTTGGGTCTGGCAGTTGCTACGGAAAGTAGCTGCAAACCTTGCCACTAGAGTACCCACCAAAATCCAGTTAGCCCACAGGTACCTGTCTCTGTGTCGCCCCATCCAGAAATGAAGCAGGAAGTCCCAGCAGGAAGGAAGAAGTCTGGGAGACATGCTATTTTCACATGCTTTGTTTCCACTGCACAGTAACCGTCAACAGGCTGCAGTTTAAGTAGTGCTGGAGAGGAGATAAACAATAACAAAAATATTTAGATCTAATTTTGATCCCTAACTATTTAGCAGTTGTTACCCTGCCAAGCTGCATAAACCCAACATCCCATTTGCCCCCCTATGCTGGACCTGTTCCCCTTGTTTGGCTCCTCCTGAGCAGTGACCTCTGCCTGCCCATCACAATTTACATCCCAAGATTCAAACGGGTCTAAATCATAATTTGGCCTGATTATTTCCAGAGCATAGTATCAATGAGAATTTTACATTGATTTTAGTGGGAGAGAGGCACTACAAACAACAAAAGTTGGAGGTGAGCCAGGTGAGTATCAAGTAAAGGATTTACCGATATCATTGTATAGAGCATGACCTTCCTCCTCTCTGTATTTGCCATGTAAAATTATTTGCACTGCATCAAATATTTGCTCATGATCCTCTTTCTCCTTGAGGTTTTGCTTGCCAAGGGCTACTTGGATCTTTGTTTTTACATTTCTGGGGGAAAAAAAAAGTCATTTATATACAAACATTTTTTATCAGTGGTGGTGTAAACCTGCACTTTTAGTAACATGAAGTCAAGATATTTCTTCCAGTTGTAAAGCTCAGCCACAAGATTTTGTAAAATCATTATAGGAAGGCTTAGATAGGAAAGCAGTGGATAATGCATGTTCTCTTGTTGCAATCATTAAATAAAGTGATTTAAATCTGCAAGTACATGACTTCCTTTGCGTTTTGGAGCAGAGTAGCAGTGTGCACACAGTCTATTACTGTGGCAGTGATGACAAGGGGCAGTTCATGCAGCCATGGCAGTAGAGTTGCTTGCTATTGTCTGAGCATATTTAAAATTATATGTGTTGAAATTATTTTCAGCATGTAATTTACCTGTTTGGTGGTAAAAGGGTGGTGGTTTCCAAATGATTCAATACTAATGTTCGAGGAAATGTAATATTCTAACCTAGCTGACACAGAAAAAAAATAAAGCTAAGTGCATATTTTGACTGTTTTGAAGAACTTAATTCTGATGTAATAGGTGATGTTGCTCATGGCATCCCAATGTCCCCTGAGGTTTGCATAGAGTTCTTCTGCACATTGCAATAACTTCCTCCTTGCTTTCCTCCTTTTTTTCCTCTTATGCAACTTCTTTAGCTCATTTTGTTTGAGTGGGGCCTAAATTTGTTATTTCAGTAAGCACCATTTTCAAGTATATAAACATTTTTATGTATGTATTCATTTTTTTTTCTGTCCACATATATGTTTTCCTTTCAATTTGACTCCCAGCACTCATTCTGATTGCAACTAATTTGGATACCAAGCTGCCTTTACTAACCATCCTGATTTTTGTACATTTATCTACCCTAATGATAGGACATGCACCTACTCAAGGCAGTGTGCAGCAGTAAGAACCCAGCATGATTTAATTAGCACTCCACCACAGAAATGTTTATTCCCATCTGGAGTGGGTCTCTGCAGAGATGCCATCCAAGGATGTTTTCCAGGTGTGGCCTTGGATCCACCATAGATCTTCTTGAGTGTCCTACGAACTTCTGGTTGTCCACATGTTTGGAATATTTCAGGGGGGTCTGTAGGGGGTTCTGTTGGGGTCTCTTCAGCTGCATTGGAAGAGACAGCAGATGTATAATTCAGAGATAATATCAGACTGGAAGAGTTAAGTAGCAGGGAGTCACCTGCTGCTCTAGGCCACCCAGACCACCATGCTGCCAAATCACTTGCTTCTAATTCTTTACCTGAGCAGGGTGAAACATTACAGTATTCCCAATCCACTTCATTATTTTTCCTGACGTAGCACCAGGGTTTTTCATCCTCATCAGGATTCCTGAAGGGAACAGTTGAGAGAATCAGCCAGTGGGAATGAGGAAATCTCCATGAAACTGATGAAGGAGCTGAGGATTCTTAGGGAGAAGCTTCATGATCCCATATGGGAGATGAACAAAGATAATATTTCATAAGATTGACAAAGAAGATGCCTGAGCGAGCCATACAATACTGCCATATTACTATTCCCTTACCTATCTTAGCCATAAGAAAAATGTGGGACTGGTTCAAAACAAAGACAGCAGCTTCTGGAAGCCTCATATCAGCATGGTTAGAGAAGGTATCTCTAACATTCTGGTGTTTTATGGGCAGGCAGTGTCTAAAAAGATGTGAGATCTTAACACCATCAGTTTCTCAAATTCATGAGCAGTTTGTCCGCAAGGATATCCTTGATACAGACATCTACAGCCGCTTCTTCAAAACATTACCTGCAGAAGTTGTGTTCACCAATGCCATATGAGTCAGCATCCTCCATAAAGGCATTAAAAGGATGGTCCAAGAGATGGTGGGAATTCCAGTGCAGGCAGGTCCTGCCATTTTCTGCTTGATTCACTCTACCTCTATAAGTAGAGGAGTCATCTTCATAACAATCATATGGTCCTATTGAAAGACAATGCTCTTATGAAAATAACTTTTGTGTTGCTCTTTGCTCAAAGTGGTTCCTTTTCCTTCCCTTCACTGTCCTACATTCATTTTATGGAGGATCAGAAGTACCTACTGGGCCAAGAAGATTATGTTCCTTGTTGTACACAGGCCAGAAATTAGAATAATGTCCCAACATCTGTCCATCTTCTACCTTGACTGACTTCAAATATCACCCATCAGAAGCAGTCCCCTCAGCTTGGGGAGTCACAAGGCAATGGGGCAGGGATCTTCACTACATCAGATTTTGAATGGTTAAGGAAATCCTGACATTTCTTCCTTTTGTGATGTGTAACCTCTGAGGACCTTTGGACCTCACTTACTATGTACCAGTGGGACCTTGCCAAAGCACACTTAGAAAACACCAAGATGGGAGCTGTTTCAAGCCCCTTTGCCAGCAGTAGCTGCAGAAGTCAGTCTCTTCCTCTGACCCTCTCTCCAAGGTCCCCAGTGCCCTGGTGTAGTCAGGCTCTTGGAGCAGTGACAGGAAGTCACCAGAGGATGCTACAGGAATAGCATCAGACAGTCTGGCTGCAGGGGGAAGCCAGCCCCTGCCTCTCTAGAGGTTCACCCCTCCCCCTGAGGGGCTGTGACATACCAATCTCGCAGAATCTCCCTCTGAAATGTTCAGGGCACCTGCAGGTGAATTTTGATCTGTATCTGTTCCGTATGCAGGTGCCTCCATTTTTGCAAGGGTTTGGGCTGCACTGTTTGGATGCTGTCAAGGTGGAAAACACAGAACAGCCTTGTCAATGTGCTGAACACTACACAGCCACTCACATGCCCAGTGGAAATGGGAGAGCTCCCACTCAGCCTGTTGGCTTTGAGTTCTCATGAAATCTTATAAAACATATATCTCTGGGGGTTTTACCAGCGGCTGAACCACCACCCTGCAAATCAAGCATAACTCATCACTGACCAGGCCCATGGATGGGAGCTGAAGCATTACTAGGGCAGGATCACCCTCTGCAGTGGGTGATTTCCCATTGCAGACTGGCCATGGTGCTGTCCCCACCACAACTTGTGCCCAGCTGAGTGCTCACCGAGCTGGCAGGAGGGTCTCTTGTAGGGAGGCTTGCAGCTGCACTTAAAATAGGGTGGGGTTAATATAATCAGGCAGTCGCCAAAGTGGCAGTTCTTCTCCAGACACATGTTCTCCACTGTAGAAAACACACATAAAGTACATCATCAGCATTTGTGTGTGCACAAGAGCTGTGCCCTTGCAGGGATCATGGGAAGATGCCTTCCCTTGTCAAGGGGAAAAAGCTCCAAGGAAGCTTTCATTTGGCAGATGTGGACTTGGAGTCTCGCTTCTTATTCTCAGCATCTATGGAATAAAATCTGTGGTACCAATGAGCAGCTCCCACTGCCCACCTTGCAGTGGCATAGAGGAGCACTCTCTGCACTCCTGAAGTTTATTTCATTGGATGCTCTTTAGACAGACTTTGGCCTGGATGAGGTCCTAAGAACTATGGACAGCAGGTTTATAAAGTTGCAACAATAGTATTACCTGCCAAAATAAGGAGTGTAGGTTAGCAAAAGAGCCATTACCTTTTTCACATGTAGTCCCACCGTATGGCTCAGGGCAGTGACAGCTGAAGTCACTTCCTTTGGCTTCACATGTACCACCATTCTTGCAGGGGTTGGAGGAACATGAGTCTGCAGAGGAAAGGATGGAGATCTTTCAGCATCTCAACCTTCATCACCTGCTTTTTCTTCTTGCATTTTTTGTGGTTGCAGGAGTCTGTCTTCCTGGGCACAGCATCCTGCATAACAAGTGCTATGATTTTACATCAGCTCAGCACCCACAGGAGTGGTATGAGTTGCTGCAGAGTTTATTCCAAGATGCAGTGGCTCATAGCTTTGGGTCTGGACATCCTCTACTCCCCCTGCCCTATTACAGAGTTGTAATGGGGCAAGTCCCTTCCTTTGATCAGAGATAGATTTGTCTCTGCGGCATTGCCTCTGGCTGTCTCCCTTCATGCCCTGAGTCTGGAGTGATGTGGATTTGGCAATGTCCTGTTTGGAATATAGGATTAAATCTCTGCCGGAGAAGCCATCCACCACCATTAGACTCTACCATACCTCTGGGTGGCTCTTGCCTAAAGGGAGCTGGCACCTGCTGAAAGTCACTTGTGTGCTGCTCCTTACACTGTGCTCAACATCTCCACTGCAGTCCAGGCTGCCAGGAGCAATTGGTATTGGAGACAGCCCAAAGTCAGCTCTGCTGCTTTGCACCAGGGGATAACTTGGAGAGTGTTACAGGCAACTTCCCTGCCTCTCCTTATGAGTCCCCTAAGCAATCTCTAGGATCCTTTCCTGTTCTCCTGAAGTTTGGCAAAACAAAAAATGAAAAGGAAATAAAACCCCTGCAACTGATAAAAGAAGAAAAAAAAACCCCAAAAAAATAAAGCTGCTCTACATTTCATTGCTAGCATAAATACAGAACATATATCCCATGAAAACAGCAATTACATCTTACAGTGTCTATAGACAAATAAGCCTGTGCTTTTTTTTTTTGTAGTAGCAATCAGAAATGTTCTGCATGATCAGAATCCATCCTGTGAAACCTGGAGATAAAACACAGGAATCTTACAAGAGAAATACAAAGAAGAACACTGCAAACGATTCTCCTAACTCATCCCTTTGATGCAGGCATTTCGAGAGCAGGCTGGCAGCCAGGCCTGCCACACTCATGCTTCAAGCACAGGGTTGGGATTTTACCCCTTCCTTGCCTTCCTGCCCACTCCTGGCAGGTACCTTCCATGTAAAAGATGTCACCTAAAGATGTCTCCATCCAGCTAAATCCCTCTGAGAGCTCCTTCTGGAGGTTGGTGTCCTGCTTCGCTTCTGTATAGTAGTAGTCCTCATAGTCATCAGCCTCATCTGCAGGGAGGGGTGAGAAGAGAGTGAAAGAACAGAGGAATTAAAACTGGAAGGAGACAGGTTGTTAAAGAAGTTATTTCTGAGATGGACTTTTCCCTTTCAGCTGATTTGGGATGTCAGTGGGTTTAGTGACCATCTTGAGGACCAAAGATGCTCTTCAGCTCTTCCTTGGCGTAGGCAGAGTTCACCTAGCTCAGCATGGCCACCCTGAGCACAGCTGGCCCCAGGGCTGCCCTCGAGAATGCTCCTGGAGGGCACAGAGGCTCTGGCTGCCCAGTTGGTTCCTCTGGTGACAGCCAGGATGCCCCAGAGCGAATGCAGGCCAGGGCTCTCCAGGCAAGGGCATAAGGAGTGTGGTACCACAGCCAGGGTAGATGATGAGGCTGTAGCAGCACAAAAAGAGATTAGGGTTCCTATAAGAAGAAGGGATTTTCTTTCTCCAGCTGCTTTGCTGACCATCACCACCACTGCTGCAGAATGAGGCAGGGCCCTCCCCAGCACAGGGGCCCTGCTGTGTGCGTGGACACAGAGTCCCATCCTGAGAGCAACCAGGGGGAACAGAGCCATCCACCTGAACGACTTTGTGACTTCTCACCACAAAGCAGCCTTCGAGCAGCGAGGGCCTGGCACTGCAGACGCGTGCTGAGGGGCCCATTCCTGCCTGTGCCAGCCCGTGGCCTACAGGAGCCGGAGCCCTCATGGAGCCGGCGGGGAGCGGGGCTCTGCCAGCCATGCAGGGCCTGTTTGATTAAAGGGGACTGGAGGCTCCTTGCACAGGTACAGCTCTTGCCAGTGGAAGCCACTCCAGTGTTTCAAAGATAAGCTATGGTAATGAGCAAAGCTAAGCTACGTACAGAGACATTTTAAAAAGCTCTCCCCTAGGGCCGGACCGATGGCCCCATGGATAATGTTCTGCCTTGAACTGATTATCGACTGCATTATCTTAGTTTTCTCTCCTCATTCATTCACTTGCAGCCTTTATCTTTATTCTTTCTTTGCTTCTGAAAAAAAAGAAAGAAATTCCACGTTTGTACAATGGGTGTTTTATATTTCATATTAAAATAGAACCATCTTTTTTTCTTCCTTTTTTTTTTTTTTAAAAAAAAAAAAAAAATAGAGGAAAGTTTCACCTCATTTATTGCTATGTCAAGTCAAGACTCCTTTTCCTCAGCTCATTATTTCCACAGGAGCCGAGTCTCTACTATGTGCAAGTGTTGCAGAAGTGTACGCCTTGCTGAGGAACAGAAGGATCTTGCTGAAAGATAAGGACATTGTCTACACTGAAAAAAATTAAAATTAATGTGATGTAGTTAAGGAAGAAAAACAAAAAGGAAGTTTTGCCTGAAATTCAGCCTCCAAGTTCACTTTGTTGGAGAGGAGATTTTGCAAACGACTTGAGGTTGAGGGAACTGTCTGAAGTAGTCTGATTTTGTATCCCTTGTTTATTTTCAGAATCTTAAAGGGGCATGCTGGCTTTTATCCCACAGATGCTGTCTGAAGAATGGGATATACTTTTTTATGGAAAAATATATCAGCTTAAAGTTATGAAGGATGAATAGGGGAGCGACGGCTGCTAAAGGCGGACTGCAAACATGCCAGTGTGCTTTACAGAGGACTCTCCTGAGTCAACAGAGGAAAAATTAGTGCCCTGAATGAGCACAAATAGCTACGCCATAGTAGAATCATCTGTCCTGGTTTTTAAGCCAACTGCTCTGTGTGTGTTAAGAAATTATGCTATTGTCACTTGATTTTTGTTTGGCATGATTTCTCAGCAACAGATTACTCATTTATTAAGAGCACTTATTTAATTACTTAACATGTTATGAATGATTTTTAAATTAAGCTCTTCTGTAAACAAGATGGCCAAGACATAACTCAGGTTTTGCAAGACGTGCTTCTGGTGGCTCTGAGAGGTTTGGGGGCACAACCGCCCATGTGCACTGATGGGGTGGTTTTGGGAGAGGCTATAGCACACCTGCTGAGTTTGGCACCCAGCAGCCTTGACGAGGGCAGCTTCAGGTAGCCAGGGCTGAGGTAAAGCAGGCAGCCCTGAGCAACCCCCTCAAGGGCCTGGCACTTATCATGTCAAGAAATTTAATGGCCAAGGCATGGAGTTCAGGGTGCATGTAGAAAGGGCTCAGAAGACATCAGCAAAGCCTTTTGGATACCCTGTCCCCCATGTGGATACGGGAGTCAGGAAGCTGAGGTTACTGGCTGGGAGGCCAGCCAAGGTGACGTAAGAGTGCAACAGATCTGAGGAATGACCAGTGTCCCTGCTTTCCCCATTGCTATCCCTCTTCATGAAACTGAGAAACAGACATAGCTCCTACAGGTCACATGAGTGATGTTTCCCATCTCCCCGCTGTTCTGTGTCATCTCCAGCTGCATGAAGCAGTGAAAAACAAAGACCAGAAAACCCTCACTGGGGCATATGATATCAAACTAAGAGATGTCTTCTTATTTATCACTGTTTTGACACTAAATAACTATTTGGCTTCCACATCTCTTATTTAAGAAGTGATCCCATTCCAAATTTTTAAATTATTCATAACAAGCCATAGGTTTAGTAAAGCAAAAACAACTCTTTTTTTTATCTGAGCACATAATTAAAGCACAAAGTCTGATACACTGGTTGATTTAAACATATTACTAAATCAGAGTGTTCGTTCTTTGTAAGTGCTGGAAAAACCTTAACATGCTTAAAAAAGCAGTGATCTGACATTTGTCACTGAAATGTGACTATTACATGAAATTAAATTAGACATCCTGCATGCAAATTTTCAAAGAATAACTTTCCTCTGTGTAGTACAAAAAATCCCCCCATAATTGATAGACAGAGATTGACTTTTAAAGCTTCAAATCAGCTTTGAGGTCTGGGTGATCTTTTAAACTGTGCAAGCTTTCATCTGCAGTTTTTCACATTGCCAAGAGCTGTCAATCAAGCAATGGATTTCTGATCAATATCCCCTTGTTCATTAGCTGACACGGGCTCTCTGTTACGGAGAGAACAGATACCCCAATGCCGACAGTCACACTGTTTTCAAAACCTTCCCTGGATCAAGTGATGACTAATGTTCCAAGTGGGAAAGTGATGCATTAGGATGCCATCGGGTGACCTGAATTGCGAGGTAACTTTGTTGGACTGCAGTTGTCAAGATGAGTGATGTGCAGAGTTAAAGCCTATTGCCAACACACATCAAGAGGGCCAGAAAGTACCCAGCATTTATTCAAGCTCTCTGAACCTCTGGAGACTGACTGAAATCTGGCCTAATTTAAGCAGGATGAGTTTTCCTACCACCCCCCCTAAACACTTTTTGTCCCCAGCTCTGAGATTATTGCAGTGTTATTTTTATGAGGCTGAAATCCTGACTGTATTTTAAATAATGAGATATTCCCCATTTACTTCTGCAGAGATGAGACCTCACAGTATTTCCTCCCTTCCAAGCAGGCTGTGGCTGGGAGTAGCTGCAGCTTCAGAAAGAAGGGAGACCAGCTAACAACAAAGCCAGAAAGCCTTTCAAATAGTTTTGTAGCTGTTACTTAAAAGCAGTTTTGCAGCACTTTTTTCCTCAGAGGGATGGATGCAGGGTGAAGGGGATTCATGATGGCTGAAGGAGTGGAGACTCCTTTAAGGGGGATGGGGAGTAGGAGATTGTAGGAACAGTGAGGGGACAGATGCAAGGACCATACACCATAAGGCAGGGAATGAGTTAAGAAACTGTTAAAGGGATAAGCTACCATCAAAAAGCAGATCAACAGTTTGCACAAGGTTGTGTAAACCCTGAATCAATTGCATGACTGTGGTCAAATATTTGCAGAACCCAAATACTGAGCTCAAAATTATTTGGAAATTTGTTTTCTACACACATTATTAGAACAGCAACATTGATTTGGTCACTGCTGTATGGGCGACAAGATTTCTAGTTTGACCTGAAAGTCCAAATACCACTGGAATGAACAGGAATGCAGATTAATAATGAGTGCATACTAAAATCCACCATATTTTTTTTCAGGAAAATCAGAAAAAATATTGCAATATTTCATTAGATATGCATTATAAACTCAGCCATTGAAATCAAGAAAAGAAAAAGCAGGGCTTACCTGCAAAAATACTAAACTTATCAATACAAACATAATCTTCTACATGTACCATGTAGGCTGTGAAAGGATAGACAAATCCTCACACATCCTACACATCCTCACACAATATTCATCACAGCTTTTCCCTTATCAACATCTTAATGCGATACAGCCTTTAACGATTTTTACTTGCATGGGCTTGTTTCTGAATCTTCTAGCACTTGGGACAAAGCCTTGCAGAGATAAGTTCCACAGTTAGTTGCATGCTGCAAGGTAAAGTCAGCCTTCATTTATTTAACCTCCAGTTTTGATCCCCAGCTATGCTCTTTGCTTATCCTTCTGTGAGGTTTGCAGCCCAGCACCGTGACCTCTCCTCCAGACCATGGGCCACTGTGTCACCTACAGCTCCCCAAAGCACATGAAGGCAGAGAGTGGCAGAAAAGTCCTGTTTTGGGACAGAATTGGGAGTTGTAAGTGCAGTCCAGGAGAGCCCTGTGATCAGCTGCATGTTGGTACTGCTGCTGGACCTCTGTTTTTGGCTCCAGTGTGTCAGACACACTTCTGGCTGGGATGTGATGCAGCATTGTCTCCTGCACTGACACAGCACATGTGGAGGTCTGAAAGCACTCACCATATTACTTGTCCAAAATCAGATTTTCTACTTGATCACAGATCATATTTAAGCACAGCAAGGCTCTTCATGAAGTTAATATAATTCAGCACTGGGCACTAGTGAAGGGTCTTGACGAACCAGGTTGCCAGCCTCTCAGTTTTGTGGCATACAGAAGTTGAAATGAAGAAACTGAAACCACTTACCTATCATCGTGTTGGGCCAGAAGGAAAAATGGGAAGCCTGCATGAGATAATAAAGGTCAGAGTGTCATTTTTTTTGGATAAAACAAAAACCAGCATGGAGGTTTGCTTACAGTGCAAAGTTCAGTTTGCCCCTAGTACCAGACATCCAGATAAGGCTGTTTCCCCTTCCAACTTTGGAGCTAACTGACCTAGATTTTTAGAGCTCTTTGCAAAAGGTAACAAAATGTCAACAACCCATGGGAGAGGTCTGGCTTTTCCAAGCATACAGCCTAAGGTGCTGGGCTGATCTGATTTGGGGCAAACCTGACCTGAATGAGTTGTCTCTTTACTTATGAGGTGATGGCACACTGGCTATTTGTCCAGCTTCTCTGAGATGCTGACAGAGGCCATGCTCCAGCTGGCTGCCAAAGCTGGAGGCTGGGAGGTGCCTGGGCATGACAGAGTGGATGTTGGGCAGTGCAGCAGGGCCCAGGACCTACATATGGTTAACCCAGTGGGACCTGGACCCCTGAGCTGGAAGGCTGTTAACAATCTTTGGATGTAGGGGAATATTTCTGGCACCCTCCAGGAGGAAATGCCATGTGTCCCACCTCCAATGTGGGGCTCCAGCCTTTCCTGTTTGGCTCACGATCAAGGGCAAGCAACAAAAGAGAACATAAGAAGGAAAACAGCTCTTAGCCTTTGAAGAGTGTGAGTGAGGTTTGTCTGAAAGGAAAGGCACTGACTCTACACCAGGACACATCCCCAGTGTGACAATTTCCGTTTGCTTTCCCTCTTGCTCTAAATCCCAGCTGAGGACAGGATTACCCACCTGCAGTGAGGATACACATGCTAAAAGTGGGTGTGAAGGAGATTTGAAGCTGCTATTCTTCATCCCTCACATAATTTTAGAGTGTAAAATGTATTTCCAAACAATTTAACACACATAGTAAAGATAGCATACATACACATGCAATTATTATGTGCACCTAGGCATTGCTACAGATACTGTAAATATACTGTAAATATATGCCCTGTTTAGTCACACATTATATATAGAAGAAAGACATTCTCAGATCATGCTGGTTGAGACTAAGAACAAATTAATCAGAAGCAATGAATAAGAAACAGGACAAAATAAAAAGCTCAGAATTCACATTTGTGAATATTTTCTGGAATATATAAATGAGTTTTTGCTTCAGGCACCTTTGCATCCCTCTTGTGTTTGAGCCAGGGAGAATAGAAACTCCAGTTCTCCCCTTCCCCACTGACTTTAATGAGAGCAATGTCCCCTGAACCACTCAGCAGAGGCCCTTCCCAGGTGCATTTGAGTGAGCCACACACACACAGAACTAAATCCTTTGCAGCTGGAAGGACACACATCCTCACACAATTGCCCCTCCTGAATGAGTGTGGAGATGATGGTAAATGAGAAGGCTGTAAAAGCTCTGTCCTTGGTGTATATGTTTCTTGAGTGCAGGTACAGCATTCGTCAGATCTTTTGCCAGACCCCGATGGAGACCACATAAAGCAAAGGTCTAATTGCTCCATTTACAATTAGTGATAGCATTCATCCATAAACACAGACCAAAACAAACCCTGCAAGTGTGCTCCTCTCTTTTGGAGGAGCAGATGAAACAAAGAATAAGGAAGCAGCACTGGGAGCAGGATGATGCAAGAAACATTTCATCTCGCTCTCCAGCTCTCTGTGCTGCCCTGCTGTGGTGTTTGCCTTATGGGGTTGGAAAGGGTTTGGCTCTGAAAGGTTTGACTTAGTGAGTTTGCCCCTGCACTGGGGGCAGCCCTTGGCACTCCAAGGAATGCTGGAGGGTTTCAGCCCAGGCTGAGTCAGGTGCACCAGCCTCAGTTTCCCCAGCTGCAGGGTGGAAATGACAGTCTCACAATGCTCATACCCCAAGGAATTAGGAAAGATGAGAAATGCAGCATTGTGCTACACTACTTTCTTTCCCAGGTTATTCACCTGCTGCTCTGTCGAAACATGGGTAGAGCTGACCACAAAAAGGCAGGTACCCTAAACTCTTTATTGCAATAAAGTGGTGCCCTCAACAGTGTGCAGGTTTACAGTATCATCCTTCAGAGCAGGCAATGGCTTGGTGGCTGGTGACTGAGTCTCAGATTTTGATTCCTGCTTTTGGATGAAAGCCTCTGTCTTCTGCCACAGCATAAATATTACTGGGAACAAAGGCTTCTGGAACATCCAGCATAGAGAGTCCAGGAGTTAAACACAATCTACTGTGCGGCTCCTGCATCTCCTTTTGTGCTGCAGCTCTCCCTCCTCGTGTGCCTGTCACAAGCTGCAGCAGCAGAGCCACAAGGGACAAAACATCTGGCAAAGCTGACTTCTCAGCATGAAGTTTTTTCCTCTGTCCTGGAGTCCCCTGGACCACTCACAAGCCCACACTGGTTTTGAAGCAATTTCACTCCTGCTAGCCAGGAGAGTGCCAAATTTTAGCTTTTTGACTCGTGGCCTGAAGCTTGCCATGGTGATGTGCAGCAGAGGAGGAGGAAGAGCTCACTCCTTTCTCCCTGTGTGCTGGAGCTCCCCTTCATTCCCTCCAGGAGAGGATGGGAGATGTAGGATGGGGGATGCAGAAGAAGGCTGTCAGGAGGGGTGCACAGGGTGGGGGTCCCGGAGGGGGCTGCAGGAGGGAGGCAGGCAGGGGCAGAGAAGGCAGGGCCTCCCCTCCTGCCTGCAGTGCCGTATTGCTCGTGGCCAGCAGAGGAGGATCTTGTCCTTCCGACGAGGTGCAACACTGAGCCCAAGGAGGAGCAGGATTTGAACAAAAGGAAGGGGGGTGGGGGGGTGGAAGAAATTAGACCGTGGGCTGGTTTCACCAAGCGGTCTCCTTGCTGCAGCTCGACACAGATATTTTGTGTGCTCTCTCAAGAGGGAATAAAATCACTGGATTCTGTTCATAGGAGTTCTGCAGTGATGAGAGACAGAGCTGGAAGAATTTGCAGAAAGCAATTTTAAATTTTACTACTTCATGCTCATAAAAAAAGAAACCCTACCCAAAAAAACCCAAAAACCAACAAACAAACAAAAAACAAAAAAAAAACCAAACAAAAAAATTTCCAAACAGTAAAAAGAAAAAGAATAAAGCTAGGAGGGACATTTTACATGGGTACAGTGTGCTGCTGACTATGGAGCCAACTACATTTATAGGTCTCCTAGGAAAAAAATGTGAAATTCAAAATATCCTAATTTCACCTCACCTTTGTTGTATTTTGTCACTGTAATGATTAGCACTTCACTAAAAGTTCATTCCTCTGAAGAACCTTCATAATTTTGCTAAATAGATTTTGTACTAATTACGTTGCACATACATGACAAATGCAGTTTTTCCATTTCAACTCCTTAAGAGAGGCTAATGAAATGTAGTGGATTTCAAACAGGAATGACTAAACTATGAGCTTTCTTTCTCACAGGATGGAATCCTATGGCTCTTTCTCACACAAAAATGTCCAGTTAATCTTTAGCAATTCTTTCTGAATAAACCCAGGAAGATTTGGCCCCAAATTCAAGCGAAATTATTTACAGTTGCCAAGACCATTCTGCAATTGAACTTAGTTTATTGTGTCTTGGGTACATTGCTACCTCTTATTACAATAAGAATGAATCACTACAACAAAAAATCAGGTGGAGAAGGAGAGCAAAAATGTGACAACCCAGGGCTATGCTGTGAATTTACATGTGTGCAAAACAGACTTCCAGAGAAAACAGTGTAATCACTCAAGCTTGCATGACAGAGTAGCAAGAGAGACCAAAATTAGCTCTATACATACACAGACACTGCAGCAAAGCACTTCAGGAATTCCAGTATTAAACTGCATTGGTAGGAATTGGCTTATTCACTCAATTGCATTAAGTCCTGCAAATTCTCTTGCAACTTGTCACAAAGTGGCATCTGTGGCAGAAAAACAAAGATTATGCTTTCATTTGTTCATCTGTGCAGTAACAGCTTTGCAGCCAAGAAGGAGGTGGGATGGGGTTGAACTGGAGAATGAAGATGGATATTTGATCAACTTCCATCCACAAGTGACACAAGCCATGAAGGAGCCACGAGGGCAGACTCAGCTACTGCCTTCTCGTCGTGAACCCCTTGATCCTGCTGACAGCTCTCAGTAGGAACCTTTGTCTGGGCTGCTTGCCAAAGGAGGAGGGAATCGACAGTTCTGATGCTCTTACAATCGGCCAGATTTTTGCCTGCAACCATCTTGGGTAGTGACAGTCTTTGAACTTCAAGGGAAAGTGGCTTTTCCAGCAATGACATTGTGTTTCTCAGCCAAGGCCATGGTTGCAGGATAATGAAAGCAGGGCATATTATCATCTGGAGCACACATGCAACACATGTTGTGTTTTTAGCCTGGGAAACCATTCTCTGAAAGGATTCCACCAAAACCTCTGAGTTCTTCACTTCTCTGGTAACAAGACCTGTCCAGCCTCCACACTGAACTGCAGTTTGTGCATCAGAGTAAATGGTGTGTTCCTTATCAATCAGTCCCAGAGAAGTTCACATTTAAAATCTTTATTTTGCTGCTTATTTAGTGGTGGACCTTTCCCATGGTAGCTCCTGATACAAAACCCACAGGGATCCGAAAAAAAAAGCAAGATCCTTCAGAGGCACTGCTGAAACCAGCTTGGTCCTCTGCTCAGGAGTTACCTGCTCCCATTTTCCAGGATATCAAAGTTTCCAAATTAGTCTTTGCTCTGTAAGTGGTGGCCTGGTAGCAGCTGGATGTTTTCAAAGCTCACTGGTGATTGAAGTGCACTCATGCTCCCAGGTGAAAATGGGGTCAGCCTTGGATACCACGGCACAGGGAAGCTATAAAATGTATTTCAGGGGCTGCAGGAGCCAGCTAGTCACACTGACATGAGTGCCTGTGCTATCAAACACTCCTGCAGCCGGTACTGGGAATGCAGGTTATACTGCTAGACTTAAAGCTTATGCAAAGTCATTAAGTCCCTTTAGTTACACGGGATATCAACCTGCACGCTGCAGGGCATAAGCTGATTGCCTTGGGGGGTCAGCGAGGAACGCT